CTCCTATTCTAGTGTGATTTTGAAAGGCCTGCCGCCGGGGTCGCATTTTCCAGAAGGTGACCACAAAATCCAATATACTGTGTATGACAGAGCTGAAAACAAAGGCACTTGCAAATTTCTTGTTAAAGTCAGAGGTAAGAATGATGTTTTAAACTATAAATATAGACGCAGATTTGCATCTGGCTTAGTAAACAGTTTAGAAATGTGCTCATACCTGTATTTGCATATGTACGTGCATATGTATATGTACATAAACTTTACATTGATTCTGAAACTGAGAGAGCAGTCTTGCTTGAGAATCTGGGGGCCAGGCCTGGAGCAGGGTGGGCAGCCAGCAGGCTGGAAGTCAGAGAAGGGCTTTACTGTCAATCCTGTCTCCAGCTCTGCACCCCTTCCTTCCTGATGGCTTCTTCCTAGCATTTGTCCCATGAAGTATCTGAAGGAGTCTTCTCAGCTGTGACTCACATCTGTCTAGCAAGGCTGCCCTTTGACAAGTCCAGCTCCTTCTGGGCCAGAGTTGAAATCTATAGGTCTGAGCTTCAGATTTGCTCCATGACCTCTTGTCACCATGATGTTACATGATCAGATGCACACACCTATCTATCTATCTGTATCACCGTAGTTTACATGTGAGTTAAACAATTTTTGTCATGTTTTTTTGAAAAAGTATTTAAGAAAGCTGACAGCAAAGACAGCAATACCTATTTTTATTGGTATTCCATTGACTGTGCCGCCCTAGTAACAGGGTGATTGATGCCTTGTCTTTCATTTTTCACCTCTTGCTTAAAGTCAGGCGCTGTGTGAAATTAAACGTCCCAGATAATGGCTACATCAAGTGTTCAGGTGATGGAAATAACTATGGTGCTACATGTGAGTTTTCCTGCATCGGTGGCTACGAGCTGCAAGGAAGCCCAGCTAGAGTATGCCAGTACAATTTGGGGTGGTCAGGAGTGGAGCCAACCTGTGCACGTAAGTGAGTATTTCACCACTTTACTGAAAGGGCTGCAAGAGCAATGGTTCTCATGGAAGTGAGAACTAGGGAAAGGGGTTGGGGGGTTAGAACACAGCTAGAAATTTTAATGCCCTAGAGATATAAAACTTATCTTTCTCTTCTCTTCCAATTTGTACTTACGTCTGGAGCGTTTGCCATCTTTGGCAGCTCTCGCCTTGAATGGCGATAATATCTCACAACTGATTGATTGATAGTGGTTTTTCAGCCCAAACCTCTACACAAAACTTCACATTCTGGAGTCGTTCCATGTTGTAACTGTAACATAGCAGCAATCAGTTGTTTTTTTTTTAAGGTACTGGGGAGGGAACTTTCAAAGGGATCAGTTTAAGATCTAGAAATATAGCCAGTACTGTGCAGCCTTCCCTTCTCTCAAACTCAGTTTAATGGTGAGGGGCTCCTCTCCTGTATATTAAGCCAATTTACTGTACCATTTCCAGCTCCACTTCCTTGTTTAGAACCAGCTTTTAACACACCTAGCAGCAGTACTTCCACTAATCTCCAAGCACAATGCCCTCACTCTGATAATCCACGCTAGAAAGACTTTTTTTTCTTCCTGTTGAAAGACAGAGAAAAGAAAAAATTCTTTTACAACGTGGTGCCTCTGTTTAAAAAAATAAACCAAGAAAAAGAACCCCCACCCAAAAGTCCAGACCTCTTTAATGTTTCTCCTGACCCTCTTTTTGCCCTCCTCCTGTTTCAGGATCATGGGTTGCAGATCTTGCATCTCCCCAGCATGAATTGGGCTGCATTTTCCAATCTTCTCCATTACAGTTAGCTTAATTCTGCTTTCCACAAGTAGCTTTGCATCAACTGTTACAGTTCGTAAGTGTGCTAATTCCACCCCTTCTTTTAGATCATTCTTAAGGCTGCTGTTAAATATGGTGCAGCCCTGAGCCAATTCTTGCTCAGGGTCACTTAATCTTCACTCAGCTATCTAGCTGAGTCTTCCTCACCTTTGTATTTTTCAGATAATTGTCAAATTAAATGGTACTCCTTCTTATCCAAGCTCATTAGCACTCACTTCGCAAGTATGTTTGTTTCAGATTCTGTAGTCAAAGTTTATTTACTTTTTCACAAATTTTCATACTTCTAGAGAAAAAAACACAAGCCATCTAGTTCAGTTCTTTATATGAGTTTTTGTTAGTCCTTTTCATTTTTAGTAAGCCCAGTTAACTCAGCTGTGATGGTCCAATTATTCCCTGCAGAATTCACTCCTACACCCCTCCTTAGCACTCGATTCATTAGCATAACAGAGACAGAAGCTGGATCTAAATACACAGAGTGGTGATGATCTGCCTTCCTTCCTTCCCAGGCTTTGTTTTCTTCCATTCTCGGAATGGAAGAATACACGCTTATTCAGTCACTCTGTACACATGGCTCCTCCTGTTGCCGCACAAAATGTTTTCAGCGTTGGGTCATGTTCAGAGAGATACTTTGGGAGAAAAAAAAAACTGCTTCCTTTCAGATGAAATTCTTGACTTCAATGAGGCCAGTATTTCACCCGTATCGTGTAATACTAGTTTCTTGATCCTGTGCTTTTGGTATCTTTTTGCTTTTGTTTGTGCTTTTAGAAATAGAGCTGTTTTCAGTTTGCTCTATAACTTTTGTTTTAATTCTAGCTATGAATATTAATGTGAACGTAAGGACAGCAGCTGCACTTCTAGATCAGTTTTATGAGAAACGGAGACTGCTAATTATTTCAACTCCTACTGCAGCCAACTTCTTCTACAGGATGCAGTTGGGAATGTTGCAGGTAAAACAGAATTCAGGGTGAGGTTTTTTTTTGTGTTTTTGTTTTAAAGATACAAGAGGACAAGCTCCTCTACTGGTATAAATCGGCAAACGTCAGTTGTTACGCTGCAGCCACTAGAGGCTCGGGCTGAAGTCGTTCTGGAGAACCCTTTTTTTACATGGGTTTGAGTTCAGCCATCTCCCCAGTCTCTAATTCAGCTCCGTTCTGCATCGTACTGCCTCTGTCTGAGTAGTCACTGAACCTCAGGCAGTTTTGGCCCTCTTCCGTCTTCCCAAGATTAATTTAAAATTAACTTGTGTTCTAATAACTTAACCAAACTCCTAAAGGGGTTGGTTAGGAGGAAAAAAACAAAACAAAACAAAACCAAAACCACATGAATCATTTCAGTGGTTACAGTTCATGCAAACCAGACCTGCAAACTTTGTAACTGCAATGTAAAGCATGAATGACGTCAAAAATTACTAGTGCACAAGCAGAAAAAGGACTGGAGGCTCAGAAATCATCCAGACTGTTGGAAATATCTTTGTGGTATTTTACTCAAAAAAAAAAATTGAGAACTGCTGAGAATTGTAATTGTCCTACATATGTATTATAATTATTATGCTCTTATTGGGTTCTTGCTAGCTACACTTTTAGGGATGTATCTTAAACATCTAACTGTGTTCTAAGGGAAAGCAGCCAGTCCAGCGTATACTTTGATAGTGGCAAATGCTTGTACCTTCTTTCTTTTTTCCCACAACTGGAAAAAAAATTCAGTATTAATAGGCATTGGGATATGAGCATGATAATGTTTTAACTGCTGGCTTAAGTGACAGTTGTGTTAAAAGTAAAATAAGAGGGTTTTTTTTTTCTCCCCCCCCCAATAGATTAACTTGGCAAGAAAATTCAATACATTGATCAAAAATAAATAGTTTATAAAACTAAATACAGTGCAATAGTACTTTACCCACTGCTTTACAGTGATCAAACAAGTTGGCATGAAAGAGAAGTTTCTGCAGTTGACTTCCATTTCACAGTTTGTTTGAATGCCAAATGAGATTACTGGCACAATGCTTACTAAACTGGCATCGTTTCAAGTCATTAAATGACATGTTTGTATTTCTCCTAGGTGGTCTCTGTGCATTGTTATTTTTAAAGAAGTAGCTAAAAACCCATTTATTTGACATCCCTGGGAGTGATAAGGCTTCTTTTCCATAAGAGTTTAAGAGGTCTTTTACAGTATGCTCTCATTTCAATTTAAATCGTCTCAGTAACTTACAGAGTAAGGTACAGAGACTGAACTCTTTATGAACACCCCTTGCACACTGGAAACAAGCCACTGTTCTCCCCCCTGGTAACTAACACATCTCCTTCTTCTTTTAACCCTTCTAGCCAGCACAGTGTGGTTTAGACCTTCGACATGTTACAGTAGTTGAATTGGTGGGTGTGTTCCCAGCACAGATAGGACGAATTGGTGTAAAGCTGCTGCCCCCATCACTTGCACTGCAACTCAGGTAAAGTAAGCTTTACCTACTGTTGTGTTTGCAGCTTAGCATATATGATTCAACATATTGCTTTAGATTTCCTTCCTCTTATTATCTATCTGAATATACATATTTTACTGTAACATACATATCTGGACACTGGAAGGTGGATGTTCATGCGTCAGTTTCATGATTAATTTGCTCCTTGCTAATTTTGCAAAAGCTGCTGCAAATACATGGGCATTTGGTGTTCATGATATTAAGAACTTCGACTTGTTTCACATTTAAATGGCAAGTGAACAGCTGACTCTTTCAAGTGCTGGGTCTCCCTTGTGTCTTTGCTCAAACTGAGTGGATTCCTGAATTCTGGTGACCTCCCTACTCCTATGATACGTTTCCTTAGTTTTGAGTGCTGCCACTGAAAACACTTCAAATAATACGTTTATATTCGTGCTGGATTTGGTCTGATGCAGTCATGACAGTCCACAGTCACTTTGCAAGGACAGTCTTGAAGCAGCTGCCAGCGCAACCAAACCCCATACAGCAGCAATAGCTCACCTGCTTTACAGTTGGGCAGGTGGCTGTGGCCAGGCCATAAGGGGAAGCAGTGAAGTCCCACATGTGCAAATGATATGGGCAGTATTACAAAGGGGAAGGCATCTCAGCCTCTCCAGCTGGCCTGTGACATTCAGCCGCTTTACCCAGGTGCCTAAACTGTTCTGACTTGGTTCTGGACTGGCAGGGGGTTGGTTTTCCCTTGAAAGGGACACTTCAAGAGCCAGTCCTTTCTAGAGAAAGGAGGACTACGCAAGCCAGAAGTGAAGGGTTCGAGAGGAAGTAGTACTTGTTTAGGAAAAAAGACCAGGTGCATTTCAGGCAACATCTTTTGTGATATACCTTAGGGTGGGGAGTTTCTTGTCCCAAATTAAAATTATGTCATTTTCTCAGTCTGCTGACAAGTCTGAGAGGTTTTTTTTTTTTTTTTTGGATTGCAAAAAACAAAAGCGCTTATTCCCTAAGAAAAGGGGGTGGAAGCATGTAGACCACCTTTTTTTTTTTTTTTTTTTTTTTTTAAACTTTAGAATTCCATGTTAAAGTTTAAGTGGTTTTCTTGTGGCTCTGCTCTGCAGAACCACTGTAATGGAGCTACATTTCAGAATTAGTATAAGCTGCCCTGCAGTCAGTGAAAATTAGTATTCCGTTTCATTTTCGCTAGACTCTGTTGCTAGTGTAGTGTGTATGTTAGCATACCAGTTCTGGACAGCACTTGAATTGAAAACACAGCCTTAAACATCTTGAACTAAAGATGCTTTCCGGAATTAGTGCTTACTAAACTAACGAGCAGAGGTAGCCTAGTTAAAACTCTGGCAAACGCAGAATGCTTTCAAAGTTAGCATTTAAATTTGTAAAGGGTAAACATTTTCCTGAGGAAACCACTTTCCTCTTGTGCTATATCTCACCTATCACCACCATAACTTGGTGCCAAATACTATTTTAGTTTGAAATCAATAGCCAAATTGACTCACCACAACAAGAAGACACCTAGAGTACTCAAACCTGTCAAATGGCAGAAGGGGGTCAATTTTTATGCTTTGCATGTCATTGATCTTTTCACCTGTGCCTGAAAGCCAGTCTTGTACAGAACCTTTTCCACACGTCAGCTTTCCTGTCCTGACACCCTTCCATCAGCCTACCTAAATTCCCCACATCTTCCCCACGCCCACAGTGCTGATGGACTGAAGCTCTAGGGAGCTGACAGTTCATTTCTTCTCCAAGCAAAAGATTAAAAGAGCATCAAGCATATACTTTTGTTACTGTTGCACCTTCCAGAGGAGCTTGAATGACCCATTTTACCACTCAGAAAGAAACAACTTCGCCCTGATTACTGGTGGCTTTGTGCTTCTAAGGTGGAGTTAGCAACGGAGAGAGAGGAGTTATTAGGGAGGGATGAGAACAGACTCTTCAGCTCTTCTCTGTTTTGTAGCACCAGTAATTTTATCCTCCTTTTCCCCACTGTAGGAGCTATACTGTAAGGAGGCAAAGAAAGGAAATAGTCTACCTATAACTATTTAGTTCCATCACAACCTTTCTCTTTAGATAATATATGTATGTGGTACTTTTTTCCTTGTGTTTTTGCACTTGTGATCATAACTGGTAATGCACATGCTATAACAACAATCAGTACTCAGAAGAAAACAGAGCTGAGTGCAGTTACCTTGCCTCCCCCATCCTCCATGCAGAGGCGCAGTCTGCAGTCCACACAGATACCCAATCTCTAGCTGATGCCCTGTTCTTCCAGGTGGAACAAGCTGGACTCTGTATAGCACACACTGACCATCCCTGCATTCCTCAGCTTCTCTGCTTAGAGCCAACAAGCTGATTCTGCAGTCTATTACTGTTTGAAGTGCCTAGGCAATAGGCGATGGGCTTTAACAGAATGATTTCCTTACTTTGCAGACTGTTGTTGCGAATCCCCCATTATAACTTCAACATTGTGGTGATGGACAAGCATGGAATGGACAAGGAACGCTACCCTTTCCCAGCAACACCAGCTGAGCTCTTTGCACTTATTGACAATTTTCCCTTGAGGAAAGAAGAAATGAAACTGCAAGCAGAAATTGGCCAGTCATGTCCTTAATTCAGAATTGCAGGGCTTTCATTTTTTGGTGAATTTTTTAATCCACATAATTCTCCCCTTGGTGCTACACAAAGCATGGCTTTTTTAAATCACTGATGTACAGATTTTTTGTGTGTATTGTTAAGTCTGTCCTGTTGTGTAGCTACTCTGCATAGACATATGCATGATGCTTTTTTGTACTTTCAGCCATCTTTAGAGAAATTGGCATGTAGAATTATTACCCAGTGGAATTGCTTGTACAGACAGTGAAGAACTGAGGCATGTCTCCAGGAGTTTATTTTGGATTTTTCATTCAGTGTAAAATTGGGGTTTCTTTCTGACTGTTTTTAAGTCTTTTTATTAATAAAATATTGTTTTGCAAACAGACAGTTGTCTAAAATTCCTCTCAGAGATAAAGCTGATCGATGGAATTCAAAAGTTGGATCAAAATCTCTCTCCGCAAACCACTGTAACAGAGACAATAGCCTCAGATTTAAAGTGTAGAGCAACTCAGCCATGTCTTTCAGTTCCACTATAATAAGAGTTTATCACAGACACAAAGCATTAGCTGAAGGCAACACAAGTTATCTGTTTTCAGCAGCAGTGAGGAGAAAACAGCTGATGGCAGGAGTATGGAACTCAATGCCAAAAAGAATATGATAGAGGAACAGTGAGCAAGATGGACAGTAGTAAGTAGGGGCCACATACTGGAGTGACAGCAAACTATGCTTTTACCTGGTACGCTTCTGCTTCTGGCTTTTCACGTCCAGTGACCTGGCATAACAGAATTCCTTCCCTTCTTCATCTTGGAGACAGACCAGCCTGTTGATGTGCTGTGGCGATGATTCCCCACAGCGAAAGTTCATCAAGGATTTGTCATTTCCAGATCTGTGAAAATACTTGTTTGCAAGTCATCACTTACTTACTTACAAATTAACAAAGTAGTTCACTGCTTAGTTAAGAGTGTTAGCAAACAGTCAAAAAAGGAACCAGTGTTCTTTTATTATCGCCTACGGTCTTGTCAATCAATTGCAAAGACTATGCATCCTGCCTGAATAATAGTCATCCTGCCTGAAAAATATAAGCCAAAAAGCAATGAAGATTTGAGAGTTACATCTTGGGACTCCTGCTTACAAGCTGGTATATAATCAATCATCTGACGCACAATTTGATACACCTTAAAAGCAATAGTCTGCTGGCTGCGTTGTTCATTCTTACCACTCAGAATACACCCCTTCTTCCAGCCAAATCTTGTTCATCTTTGACCCTGAAGTAGAATTTTACACTCTTGTGTCAGCAGGGGAATAGTTTAGCAACATCGGTAATGAGAGCCTTACCAAAGAGCTCAGTCTTTCACACCCTCTGAAATTATCAAATCTCTTCTAAAAAGGCTGCTTCTGCAAGTGAAGAGAGAAAGATCAGCCCTGACACAAGCTATTTCTTAATGCTACTTAATGAAGTGCATGGAGAGGGTCTTCTAAACAGTACGGTCTGCTTTGCCTCTGAGGTTATTAGGAGACTGTTGAAAACTAAACAACCAAGCATGATGAGGCCCAGGTGATGACTGCCTACAGTGCTGAGGCCATATGCAAAGAAGATTCCGATACATCCTGAACACTGCAGGGGGAAAGGAGGCTGCCTCCCCCCTCCTTTTCCTGGGCCCACAAGAGAAGCCATCTCCATCTCTCACAGACAGACACTACATGGGAGTCCCCAGGCTTAAAACATTGCCACTCTAACAATGGTTGAGTGGGCTGCAAAGATGCATCCTCCCCACCCACCCACCCACCCACCAAAAGGTTTTGGCGTGCTCAGCTGTGCCGCATATTCAAGGTGTAGGGCTTGGCAACGCTGCCAAAGCAAGAAAGGAGAAAAGCTGCACCCTAAGGACTATGACATGAAAACCAGCCTGTTACAGCCTCTCGTGATGCTGGGTTTGCACGGATGTGTGACTGGAAGGCAAGGAAGGCTTCCCTCGACAAAGCTTTCTGAGCGTTGCCAGCAGGAACAAGACATAAGGACAGGATTGGTAACAAAAGCAGAGAATGCATTTCTGTTCCAGACCTACTTGAACCAAAAAGAAAGAGGTAAGTCCTGGATACACTACAGAGAAGCAAGGCGAGTAACAGACAGCATGCTGGCGCATACACCTGTACTCTTAAGTTTCCTTTCCTCTGCTGCCTATGTAGCCCTTGTGATTGATTGAGGGGAATGTGAAGGCTTGCCCCATGAACCACTCCAGCACAGGCTCCAGGGCAAGAAACAGTATGTTGCAAGGGAGAAGGCCAAGGTCCAGGCCACAGCAAGGCACCATCAAGGTTCCACCGAGGCCACAGCAGCCACTGCCTTTGTTCCAGTGAAACTGGATTCGTAGCTCAAGCGGAGCCCCAGCATTTACAGCCCTTAGTTCTGGGACTGAGCTAACAGCAAGAGACACTTATGGCCTGTGCATCTCAGTGTGCTTTGAGCTTGAAACCCATAGAAACAAAACATTTTCTAGGTGCTACTTCCTTCTCAGACAACACAGCTACCTACTGTAAGGAAAGGAAAGAGGACAGGTCTCTAAGTGCTGGTACCTCACTGCTTTCCTGAAAGCTGAAAAAGAAAAAATGCCAACTCCATACAACTAAAAGGAACTTGAAATGGCTGGCATACCAAATCGCTTCCGGCCTGAAGCGTGGCGCACAGAGCAGACAGCATGAGAACACATCCACACAAGGACTGCTATGGCCACAGTTTTCTGGCTCAAGCACTTTGGTATGTGTGCGCACAGCATGAATGCACAACTGGACAGTTTTTCCCCTTTACTAGTAAGCAAAAAGTACATCAATGGCTTTCCAATGATTTTTGAGAAAAGATAAAAACTTAATGGGTCTGACTTTTCTACTGTATTATTCCAATTATAATGTGCTGCAGTTCCATTTTGAATTAGGTACAGAATCAACGCATAGCCATTTTTCATGACTGAGTGAACAGGCATGGGGCTTTAAGAGTACTACAGTCAAGAAAATGATTACAATCACTAGGCTGTTAAAGGAAATTGAAATAAGTGGATGAAAGCGCATGAGTGAGTTGATTACCAGTTATAGTTCTAGACAGAATATCTATTAACGCCTTCTGATTAGCAAAAAGCTGTTCTTGATTAGAAATATAAACTTTTTGGCATTTTCTGTTGGACATTTCTGTGGGGAGGAATGGAACACTGAAAAACATCATGTGCCACCTCTTTTGGTTTTGGAGTCAAATCAGCTTGCATGTATGGTATGCAGGGATGTGGCAAATTTGCCTTTTGGGGAAGAAGTGTTTGAAAAAGAGACTTAATATTCCTGGCTTTAGCCCAGCATTTATATATTCAAAATTCCAGTAATTCATCCTGTAGACTTCTGGTCACAAAAAAATAATGCTGGGTCACCAAGGAATAGTATACACACTAGTGCACTTTTTTTTTTTTTAATGTAACAGAAAATTCATCCCCCCCAAACTAATACAGGCTTGAGTCTTTGTTGTACTACCAACATGGCTTTTCTTGCCACATCTGCTATTCATACCACTGCTCTCTTATCAAAATGGAAATATTGTTTCAAGGGTGAATTTGGTTGGAAGGATTGAAGGCTGATTCCAAAAAGCAAGACCTGAATGCAGTAAGACTTGCTCCTTCCCCTCCCACCTCCAGGCTATTCACTGCAGTAGAAGTCACAGATCACAGTGTGTGGTGGATACAGCCAAGGGCTGGAGGACTCCTACATCAATCTGGAGACATGTTCCAGTTTTGAACATGCTCTGAACAACCAAAAGAATTAAATCATTTTAGGTCAAAAAGGAAGTTCATGTTTCTGTCATGCGGTATCTTCGGCAACAAAACTGTTAGGACAAATTGTGGGATACAGCAGTTTTTCATGAGCCCGAAGCATTTGTAAATGGCCTAATTTTCCCCAAATCCTACCCAAAAATCTACCGGTTTGATGAAAACAATCCCCACCATCACATACCTCATGACAATCCTTTGCATCTGCAGAGGAGGGAGAAAAGTTAAAGTTGCACATCTCTATTCTTAAAGCTTAAATCATCCCCTCTGGGAGAGAAAGCTTTACATTTTAATGCTAAAACATCAGTGACCCTTAAAACTCTGAGTTACAGCTCTCATTAAATGACTACAGTGTGTAGTTTTCCTACATAAAAGCATGAGTCAGACTAATTAATGAAAATATAGAGCCTAAAAAGTAACTTGAAGTACTTTCAAATACTCTTATGATTAAAAGAAGGCTTACTTGCAACCCACTTTCTTAAACTGAGGTGGTGAAATAATGGAACTTGTAGGTTACGCAATCTTAGTAATAGTAGATAGCTTCTAGCCACTGACCTGTTTCTACGTCCCCTGACAACGGCTGTTAAGTGCAGCTGCAACTCATCAACAGAAAGGAAAAAAGGAATAACTGCTGCACACCTTCCCCTAGCACAGCTCCTCTAAGATCTGTAGCTGCTGCTGAATTCTCTCTCCCCATCTATGGCTGCAGCACACTGTTATGGTAGCTTGGTGAGGGGAAGGGTGGGAAAAACTTGCTGCAGATACTGGAAGGCAGAGAGCAGCAAGGCTGCATGGGCTAAAGGAGCAAGTGAGAATATTTTCAATTACACATAGGCATTTCTTTGACTCATGTCAAACAACTATCCAATTACTGCACGCTCTGTAAAACACAAAGGAAACGGATAGGAATCCCGGTGTCAGTGCAGAATGTGCCTGTGTGTATACCACCGTTTCCTCCATTGCTACCCATGCACCCAGAAAGTAACCATGACCTGAATCTCAGCTGGTTTAGATTAACCCATACTTCAGTTTTACAAGAACTTGGCCTCTATCACTTCAGACAAGAGGTGTGGAGAGATGGCTGCACTGTTTAACCGCAGAGAAGTTAGAGAAGTCTTCCAGATCTCCACGCAAATCCTTAAAAACTGTCCCAAGCAAATCTATAAGGAATGACAGGAAAAAGCTTGATGATAAAGTACTCTTCCCCACCGGCAGCTGCCTTCCAGTTTATGGATGTTTGAACTCCCACCCCCATGAGGCCAAAACCTCTGGACAAGCTAGACAGGAGTGGTGTGAGGACAAAGGATCCAGGAGCCAGCTGACCTGTGAACATCCCTGAGGCAGTATTAACCCCAACCTTAACCAGGATGCACGAACCCAATGCACTGGGCCAGGCTTTCAGACTACTGCAAGGTGAGCAGAGGCAAGCACAGGCCCATAACTTGGAGTGGCACTGAGCAATGTGGGATGTCACTGTTACTGCAGATTGCACAACTCAGCTGAAAGTATCAATTAACTTGAATTAGCAAAGATTGTTTTTAAAAAAAAAAAAGGAATGAAAAAAAAAAAACAAACACATCAAGATCAGTAACCACAGAAAAGCTGCATTTTGAACATACCTGGATTTTCAGGTGGGCAGGACCCTGAACTAGGGAACAGGCTGGAGATTCAGAGGTGGTAGGGAGAACCTGATGAATGTGCAAGGTTAAAGCACAGGTAAAATAATTCTCTTGCAACGGTGAAGAGAGCACTAGACTTCCCATATTCTTGTATTTACATGTAAGAAAGAAAATGGCTTTAATGCTTATGAAATAAAAATTAGCATAAACAAACGCTTAAGGGGTAGAAGATAAGACAGACAAAACAGCAGAGAGAAAAGGGAATACCAAAAGAGACACATCTCTGAAGACAGTCTAGGCCTCTAGTATTATTCATCACATATAAATGAAGTAATATGTTTACCTCAATGAGATAATATGGGATAGTCCTGAAAGACAAGTTTATAGTTTGCTGTAACGCATTTTAGGACAGACAGGGACACAGCAACATGTTCCATTATTTTAATTCTAAAATAGATAACAGTATTCTTGACAACAACTACAAATGAGTTACCAGCCATCTCCATCCACAAATTTGAATGTACAGTGCACAGTACAATAATGCTCTGGGAAGGAATGGTTTGTTTCTATTTGGGCAGACCTTAACATACTGCATTTCCATTTACTGATGCTACTGTTCATGTCCAGTAGAATGACTAAATAAATAGCAAGCAACAGATCTGGAGCAGAACAAAGGCAGTATGAGGAATATTCTCTAATTGCTGCAACAAATGACTATATTTGGTCTTAAGCAGACCACAACAATTAGAACTACCCCTAAAAATACACATTAAGTTCTCAGGAGCAGTAGCACACAGCCATATATATGTTATTGCCACAAAGCAGAATTATTGAAATAGTTAATCTAAATAAAGGGTCAAGATGCAGGAAGGGTTAAGTTTCCAAAGCAACCCAAAAGCCACCTAAAAGCAAGTTCAGATTCACTCACCAGTGTCAATATACACAGTATAACTGACACTGTATTATTACCACTTATCAGACAGCATCTGGCAACATTTGATCACAAAGCAGGAAATTCATGGGACACAGTGGCAAGGTTCTGCTAGCATGCTTCTCAATATCGCATACCGAGTTATGGTAAAATGCATCACTGCAACTAAAAGTCTTACCATCCTACTTTGGAATTAATCACATGTTTTTAATCACCATTTCTATAAGCTTCCTAAATGTTGTTAACAGCTCTGCATGTAAAAATAAATAAATAATAACAGTAATGTAAAAAAACTGTATAAAAAACAGTTTACAAAGTGCACAGACCAGCTCTCAGGAGACGGTTATTTTTGTCATTGTTTCAAAGTGCTATAAATCAATACTGTATATTAGGAAAGTAAAATTTCACTTTTTACCTCATAGAGATGAAAATAAAGGGAGCTATCTCTTAATTGTTGCATGCTGCCTTCTTCCAGATAGTTGAGGTTAACATTTAGATGCAGCACAGAGTCAGACTGACATACTGAACAAGATCTTCAAAGAATAATTTCGTGGTGAAGGCTGATGAACTGAAGAGAGGGTGGAGGGAAGAGATCGTACAAAGATTCAGGAACAACCTCTACTATCTATCTTGGGTGAACCCACAGACCAGACAGCTGTGGAAACATGCCTGAAGTTGGGCAATGTGTATTATCCCTCATGAAGCTGAAATTATGCCAGTCTAACAGAAACCCTCCTGTTACTCCAACTTATCAATTAGTACCAGTGAATGGTCAATGGCTGCTCTGCTATATAGCTGACTCTGTGCAGAAGATAACTTATTGGAGCTGACAGTGCCTAATCAGGCAGGAAAAGAAAGAACAAGAAATAATATATAAAAATGCTTCTTTCACGCTACCTTAGCATAATCCGTATGGGAAGAGCCACAGAACAATAAGCTTCCTATCTAATGCATAATGATCAAAACATACTCACCATCCCAAATCCTTCTCTCATAAACCATATTCTAACCATCCAGCTGACAAGATCAAAACATGATGTCTAAAAGGCATTTATGGAAGGCAACAGTACTGAGATTTGCACGTGAAGGTGGCAATGGTGCCCCTCATAGCGTCTTTGTAGCTTTTCTGCCACCCTTGCTCAAAAAATAACACAATGAAAGTGGAGGAGATGGGGACACCACATCACTCTACTTTAGCCTGCTTTTGGCATCTAAACACACAAGTGAGAGCATCGATATTTACAGGCCTAAAGTTGAGTAGGGAAACTCTACTTGAGCTCTCTGCTTCCAGAGAGCAAGTCTGGGTATGAAAGTCTCATGCCAAGGCTCAGACAGCCCTCAGCACCAGCTCGTCCTCATGGACCCTGGCAAAAACGACACTGTCTACAGAGGTATTTACTGACCCTACTTGGAATTCTACAGTGATAGTTGTACCTTTACTCTTCTTTAATGGGTCAAACGCTCAGAAAGGGGGAAAAAAAGATAGTGATTAAAACCCAATAGTTACATATTGCTAGAAATAGATGAGTCACAGTAAAATGCATTGTTTCACATTTTCAAAACCCACTGCAGAGAAGAGATCCTTCTTCAGTGAAGCATCTTCACTTATTCAAGACTGTCAGGAGAAATAATTTGGAAACAGTCCTGCTGTGTCTAATTATTCAGCACAGGAATTTATGAATCAGGGTTAAATTTCTGCCTAATTTCTCCTAAAAATTAGCCCTGAATAAACCATTCATGCACCTTCAATACCTCTAAATAGAGTACAAAAGGAAGGCTTAGGCCCAGTTCCTGGCTTTCTGTCTTTTTGTTCAGCCTGGTAACACACAGTACATGATGACGCACAATTATATGCAATTAATTCAAATAGCTGAGAAACAAGATACCACATCTGCAGTTAATCATCTTGTGCTTTTGCTAAACCATAGATCATTTTTGTAAAGGAAAAGAACAGAGATACAAGAGAGATAATTAAATGTGACATTTTCCATAGATCAAACGATTTCTACAAATGTATCGATACCATCATAAAACAGCAAAGCTTTCCAAATTGCTCTAGTGTTTACACCAATGTTCATCATCTCTCTGAGGCTTATTTGGGGCAAAGTATGACTTATGCCGTATGCTTCAATAATGCAGAATTGTCACTGCTAACCTGGGAGGTAATTTCACTGCGATATTCCAAATCGCATCAGTGGCAAACAACACTATCTTGACTGAAATTATTTCCCACTTCAAATTCTTCCTTTTAGATGCTGAACTACAGATGACACTTAGAGTCTATTCATAGTCTGGCCTATACTTTTAGAAAACTCAAGAGTGAGACTTTGGCCCTACAAAAGGAAATGGCAGGACTTAAAGCTAGCTATGAGCTGGGTGACAATTTGCAGATGAGTACATTCATCACGCACTCTAACTTGGGGCCAAAAAGCAGGAGTAAAACAGGCAGAAGCTCAACTAAAGCATAGACTTTTTCCTTTCAAAGTAAGACTACATTCAGCTAAAATGATAATGCTTAAAAGCTTAGAAAATATCATTCAAAACTAGCCAAAATCTTACACTCAATGTTAAGTGAAAGGTTTAGTTCAAAGTTATTTTAAGCTTTTTATTTTGGTGAGAGAAAAAGGTTTCCATTTTGGGGTCCAGCTTGGAGGATTTCTTGCGTTTTCCCAGTTTCACCATCAAAATGAAACAAA